GCTACTAACCCCTGTTCTAGGTGATGGTGTTTGCTGTATGGTTATGTGTTTTAAATGCATTTTATTAAAATGTCATATTTCACAAAACGATTCAAACCCAAGAAGGACGTTTAGCTCAGATGTTAAGCTTTAGGTCTCTGGAGTCAGAAAGTCTAGGTATGATTTGTGCTTTAACCACTTAAGGGTTTGTGCCTTGGGCATGACATCTAAAATGACCTGTAATGATAGTAATTCAAGCCCCTACAAAATAAGATCATTCTGAGGATTAAGTGAGGTGCTTGATGGAGCTCCTTGCATATAGTAAGTGCTTGAGATTTTTTTTTTTCTCTCAGATAATAGGATTATTAAGGCATGTTGAATCACTTACCAAGACTTTAAAGAAATTCTGGTTGCTGTTGGCAGAAATAATCTCTTAAGGAAAGAATTTATGGAAGAATAGGAAATATACATAACCTCCTCTCTTCATAATATGGAAAAATCACAAGTAAAAATAGTATGCTGCCTCCTATTTCTTAGAAAGCATTTTTTGCCTCGCATGATTTTGGATGCTAAACAGAGCACTTTTTTTTTTTAATTCTTTTTTTTTTTTTAAGATTTATTTTTATTTATTTATACAAGCACTGGGTACAGTCAGAAGCGCGGGAGGGTGAGAGAATGAGAGAATTCACCAGAGCCAGAGCGGGGAGCAGAGCAGGCAGAAGGACCGAAGGACACTGCTGAGGGGAACAGCGGGTGGCAGGAGAGGTCTGCGCGCCATGTGGGACCCTCCTCCGGTGGCCGGGGAGCGGCTGGGGATCAAACCGGTGCTGCAGAGGCTGCGAGCAGCTTCGCAACCCAGCGCTCAACCGCTGCGCCACCGGGGAGGCCCTAAACAGAGCACTTGTAACAAATATTTTTAAATGTATTCCAAATGTAAATTATAAGAAGAAAAAATAGTGGGAAGGAAAAAGTTCCATTTCTAATCCCCAAACTAGAATGACTATGCACAGTACTTCAGGGAAGACTTATTGAGGGGATAAGAACTTCACTTTTTCTATGAAAGGGTAGAGAGATTTTCATATCCTAATTCTCAGAAACTGTAAATATGTTACCTTACAAGGCAAAGGGGACTTTGCAGCTGTATTTGAGCTAAGGATCTTAAGATGGAACAATTATGTGGGTGTTGTCAATGCAGTAAAAGTGCCCTTAAAAGAGAAAGAGGGAGATGGGAAGATCAGGATTAGAGGAGGAAAATCATTATGATGATTTTCAAGATGGCAAGAGGGGCCATGAGCCAAGGAATGTATAGGCATTGGGAAGCCAGAAATGAAATGAATTCTGATTTACAGCTTACAAAAAAATATAGCTTTATCCTCACCCTACCATTAACCCAGTAAGGCTCGTTTCATACTTCTGATGTCTGAAACTCTAACATAAATTTTTGTTGTTTTAAGCTACTCCGTTTATGTAGCAATTGGAAACTGGTTGAACTGTCAAATGGAGAGCATATCCTATTGGATCAGATATGACTCTTTAAACTTGTCCCATATGCTTTCGTTATGCATTCTTCTTCAAGAAATGCTTATTAATGACCTCCAGGTATTAAAGTAAATAACTTGATCCTAGTCCCCAGCCACCTTACAGTGTAGTCATATTGGGAGACAGTCTGTTATTTTCCCTACATTTTATGAGTGAAGGTACTGATTGCTTTGTTCAAGTTTTTCTTTTCAAGGATACTGTATAACAAACACCCCATGGGAGAGAGAGTCTACCTCCCGAGCAAAGAGCAGGCATGCTTACTGCCCAGTATAAAAGATCAGGTTCCCTAAGCTCAGACTCCCATTCTTATAAGGCAAACTAGTGTGCATGAGTGTGTCACCTGACCCTCTATGTACCGCCTTGTGAGAAGTGGAGTTAGTAAACCAGCTCAAGAAAAATGCTGATACTCTGGCTACTGCCATTTCTGTGAGTAATAAATGCTTTTGTGTCTGACAGTGGATTGTGTTTTCCCTCCGCATCCATGAAACTGAAGTAGTTTTAACTTATTCACTTGCAAATAGGGTAGTCTCAGACCCTTCACAGTTCCTGACAAGTGATAAACAGAACAATGTACAGATTTCTTTGATCACCATGAGGCAGGGTCTGTTAAGAATATTTGTAATGGAAATGGAAAAGTGACACTAAGTAAATCATGTAACACACTACTCTGCTAGCATTTGATAAATATTCTCATTGAGTTTGCCACTACTCTGTAAAAGATGTCACAGCCGTTTCTAACAGCACCCAGATTTCAGTTAGGATAACCTGTTTGCTTATGATTCATAGAAAATGGACTCATACCTCAATTGCCTCATTCATCGCACATCCTTAAGAAAATGCCATGTCCCCTAGATGATTTTAGAGTAGTGGCTTCTCCCCAACTTGGCAATGACTAAAAAATTTTTTGGTAGTCGTAACTTGGGCCAGGGGTGCTGTAGGCATCTAGTGGCTAGCAGGCAGGGATACCACTAAACATCTTACTATTAAGAGACCACAGAGCAGAAGATTATTGAATCTAAAATGTCAGTATTGCTGAGGCAGAGAAGCCCTGCCCTGGAGTATAATCACATGTGACTGACTTCCTGCCTGCACTGATAGCTCTTGCCCTGTTTTCTATCTACTTTACCTCACCTTGGTATGCATACAAACTTCCAATCCTTCCTCCTTAAGGTCATGCTAATGATAAGTTATTGCACGCAGGAGAAATGTTACGAAATATTTGTCAGCATGAGGGGAGAGGGTAAAAATCACATCATACAGCAAATGAAACAAACAGCATATTAGGCAGTCCTGCTAAGGCAGTCCTTAAGATTATCTTAAGGCACTTTTAGCCACTGCAACCCTGGCAGACGGGTGCTTTTACTGATAATGTGACTTCTTGTACGCTGGCCTCTCACCATCTTGCTGGCTCTACTCTTTTTTTTTTTTAATTGAGGTAATATTAGGATCCCCCCGCCAATAGGTGGTATCACCATAGTGTACCTGCTACCAAATCAGCCATAGTCCTCCCCCATTGTACATTCTGCTTCCTTCCCTCTGTGTCCCTTACCCCTCCCCAGGCCCTCCTCTTCTGATACTTCAGTTCTATAGTCAGTTTACAAAGGTTAGTTTTTAAGCTGGTATTTATCTGACCCTTAGTCTGGTTTCTCTATATTCTGTGTATTAGTGACATCAACCTGTATTTACCTTTCTCTTTCTGACTTACTTCACGGAGCATGGGTTCCTTCCCAGAATATTCCCAGGAGCCCCAGGCTACTCTGTATATTTAGAGCGGTTGTTCCATTCTCACCTGTACATGTAAATTCTGTTCCAGGCCTTCTGTTTTCCTCTAGTCACACCAGAAGTTCCCACCCTTGAGCATGTATTGCAGTCATTCAGGAACCTTATTATAACATAGTTTGTGGGGTTTTGAGTCTGTGAGAAGGGAGAGAAGTTGCATAGTTCCCAAGTGATGCTGATGAGGCTTGTTTTGGAACCACACTTCTAGATATATATTTGAAAAAATACATGAGCAAAGACTCATTTCTTTCTGCAGCAGTACACAGAACCTATGGAAGCCCCAAGAAGGTCTTTCTCTTACCTTGTTCTGCCCACTTCCTTCAAAAGGCAGTGTAATTCTCCATAGCATTCCACAGCCTCCTAGTTACACACAGAAGAAGAATTTGGGGTTCAGAGGTTAAGTAACTGGGAGAGTGACTTAGAGCCCAGAGATAATTGATTCTGAAGCTCCTGCCTGTGTATGTGGTATTAAGTGGGAGCTAAGCAATAGGGCCCCACTCTGGTCATGCACAATTTTTTCAACAGTGTAAGACAGGCTTAGTAAGTAGATTTCACAAATGTAACTCAGGAGTACATTTAAAAATAGTTTGTATACCAGCAGTAATGATGTGACCCTTCACTGTCAGGTCTTGGAGAGCTAATTCCCTAGGACAAGTCCAGCAGCAATGCCATGAAATGGATTACACTTGGCAAGAAGCTCTGAAGTGGTCCTAAGGCAGATCTATATATGCCAGTGTTGTGTGTAGCAGGAAGCTGGCATGGAATGATTGAAATCCTTACAAAACCTTTGGGAATGGAGAGCATTAATGATCATCATGATGAAGATTGAATAAATTGCAGGATGTCAGGACAACACAGATAATTTTCAGAGAGCACAGCCTATTGGACCTCCCTCCTTTTAGTCCCCTAGAAAGCAAGGTTACATTAATTACCTGTGTCACTGGAGTACTATGGTCTAATCCTGGCTGGGAATTGAGCCTATAAGATCTAAAATTGATAACTCACAATACAATCTCTCTTGGAAAGTACTGCTTTCTCTGTTGCCTATGGGTTGTTTTGAATTTGTTTCAACTATGTTCTTGACAGGTTGCTACATCAAAGCAATCTCATGCACAATCACTACTGCAGAGATAAAGATCAATTCCTATCATCACAAAAAATTGTTTGACAAATGGACAAAACATAAAAAGAAAAAGCATGAAGTGCTTGATGGTCATAAACCATGGTCAATAATTAATAACATGTATGGAGTACAGAATTCAGCTCTATTTGATGGAACAATGTTTTTGGTGCACCCAGTATTTATGTAGGAGGTGCTTATCCAGGTATGACTTTGTGTGCTAGACAGTAAGTGGAGTTAAAAATTTTAAAAATAGAGCAGACACACTGACTCAGGTAAAGTATAAATCACCCAAAAATACAACGACAAAGACAAGAGTCTTCCACAAAGATTTTCCCCATTTTAGAGATTCTTTGTGGCCTGGCTTTACTTCAGTAAACGTAGTGACCAATATGTTGGATTAGCCAATGCAGTCAGAGCAGACAAGTGAAGTGAGGGAAATGGAGAACTTGGGGTGGAGGTGGTGTCTATTAATTTCCTATAGCTGTCCAAACAAAGTACCATACACTTGGAGGTATATCAACAGAAATTTGTCTCTCAGTTCCGGGGATTAGCAGTGCTAGATCAAGATGCAGAATTCCAGTATATCTTCTTTTTTATTGTGGGAAGTGGAGGGAGAACAATTCAACCCTTAACAGGAAGAGAGAATTGTAAGTAGTAGAGGAATGGATGATGGGAGGATAGATGGGAAAATGCACTAAACAAGAGTGAAATTATGGGTGAAATAATGAAAATGAGTGATTGAGAAGGAAGTGATTTTTCCTCCAGTTGTAGAAATCCAGGTGTTTGCATGACCCAGGCCAACTGCTGAGTCTGAGAGCTGTTGGTTATTTCAGTCCCATCATGGTGCAAATGGGAGGTTGGCATCCCCCAGCACACACACAGCCCTCAGGGCACATGTCACCTTTGTGTTGTTGTCAGTCCTTACAACTGAACATTACAATTCAACCAAAAGAACACGGTGAACTTCACTCCCTCAGTCCTGTGTTCTTGAGGACACAATTAAAGGATAAAATTTTCCATTTTAAAAGCCAATAAAATACATGGAGATGCTGTGAAGAATTTGATAGGGCTTAAATTATTAAATTTATTGCCCTCTGTAAGACTTTGGTTCTAATCTTCAAGTAAGATGCAAGGGAACAAACTAAATGAGATAAACAGTGCTCTTCATCCATCAGTCTAGTTGTTGATATATTGTTTTAGTTGCTTTATATAACTAGGTGCTCCTACATTTGCAGCACAAATAATAAGACTTATATCTTCGTGGTGAGTTGTTCCCTTGATCATTATATATAGTGTCCAGCTTTGTCTCTTATTACCTTTTTTAATTGAAAATCTGGTTTATTGGATATGAGAATAGCAGTTCCTGATTTACTGAGTTATTAGTATGTATGGCCTTATTCCAGCCTGTTATTTTTAGTCTGTTTTGTCGTTCAGTTTTAAATGGGTCTCTTGTAAACAAAGTATTGATGGCTGGAACTTTTTCACTCACATTGTTGGCCTATGTCTTTTTATTGGTGAATCCAGAATATTCACTTTTACAGTGATTACTGATAAGAACTTTTGATTTTCAGCCATTTTTTCAGTTGTTTTGGTTTTGATTATTTAATTTTCTGTTTTTCTTTGTTTCACTCTGCTGCTTCTGGATGGCTTTCCATAGTATTTCCATCAATTTATTTGCATCTTCATCTGTTGGTATCCTGGTGTATTTTGTTTGTTTGTTTGTTTGTTTTTGTTTTGTGAGTAGTTACCAAGGGGGTTTTACTTGAATTCCTATGTTTTAGGTCCTTTATGTGAGCTGCTCTCTGACATTTAACTATACTGATACTACCCATTCCTTCCTCCCTCTTAGTATTTGGTGTTATTAATTCATAGTATTTTTGCTCTTAGAGCTGGTGTTACATTGCTCTCATCATTTTGCTAAGGAGTTTGTGCTTGTTTTTCTTTTGTGTAGAACTCCTTTTAGTATTGATGGTGAAAAACTCCATTAACTTGTTTGTGAAAATCCTTATTACTCCTTCATACTTAATTGATAATTTTGCAGGATAGATAATTCTTGGCTAACAGTTCTCATCTTTTAGGATTTTTTAAAAAATATTTATTTATGCATACAAGAGCTGGGGTACATACCAGAGATGTGGGGGGTGAGAGGATTCACCAGAGACAGAGTGGGGAACAGAAAAGGCAGACTGACTGAAATACACTGCTGAGGGGAGCAGCAGGCAAGACAGGAGAGGTCTGCCACGCCATGTGGGTTGCTCCCTGGCAGGCCAGGGATCAAACTTGTGCTGCAGAGGCTGCCGATTGCTTCATGGTGTGGTGCTTAACCCTTTGCCCCACCAGGGAGGCCCCCTCATCTTTTAGGATTATGTATAGTTCTTCCACTCTTTTCTCGCTTGGAGAATGTCTGGACAGATTTCTAGGAAATCCTAATTTGGGAATCCATATGGTTTTTTCCCCTTGCTTCCTGCAAACTTTGTCTTTGCATTTGATTTGTGATACTTCCGTGACAATGTGTCTGGGTGTCGATCATTTTGCATCTAAGTTAGGTGTTCTCTCTGCTTGTTCTATTTCCATATTTAATTCATTCTAGGTTTGCGAAGTTCTCATTTATTTTTTGGAATAGTTTCTAGTCCTATTTTTTGTCCCTTTTAAGGGAGTCCGATCATTCATAGGTTTCCTGTTCTAAATGAGTCTGATATTTCTCAGTTTCCTTATTTTTCCTTTGTCTCTCTCTTCTTCTAAACGTATAATTTATTCATTTGAGTCTTCTACAATTGAAATACTTGTGCCATTTTGATTCTGTTTAAAGCTTTGGTCTATCTACATTTCATTCAGAAACTTCCTGTGGTCTTTTTATATATTCGACCTCTTAAGAACTCTTTGTTCCTGGATCTGCTTTCTGAGATCTTGCATCTGCCTATCTGCCTCTGACTGGCCTTCCAGTATCTCATTTAACTTTTTTTTTTTTAAAAGATTTATACAAGCACTGGGTACAGTCAGAAGCACGGGAGAATGAGAGAATTCACCAGAGCCAGAGCAGGGAACAGAACAGGCAGACTGATGAAATACACTGCTGAGGAGAGCAGCGGGCGCAGCAGGAGAGGTCTGCGCGCCATGTGGGACCCTCACTAGCAGCCGGGTATTGAACCAGCGCTGCAGAGGCTGCGGGCAGCTTCTCAGCCCAGCGCTCAACCACTGCACCACCAGGGAAGGCCCATCTCATTCAACATTTTAAAAATTATTTTGAAGTCATTGCCAAATTGTTATCCTGGGTCTTCTGTCCTCATTTTGCTTTTCCACCTTGTGTTAAGATGTTCCTTACTTCCTAGGCATGCGTATTGCTTTATTTATAGCTATTTATGGGTATGTATGTGGTTGGGATTTATCTTTATCTTCTTAGTTTACATCAGTATTAGGTCGAGGTAGAAGGGAGGTCTAGGACTTTAATACTCAATCCCTGTTTGAGGAGTGATGATCGTGAACTGTACTTCTTTTGCTTGCAGTAGCTGTATTCTGTGCCTAGGTTGTCTTCACTTCCCATGCCTCTCCCTGTTCCTTTCTCCCAAGGTTTGTGATCTATGAAGCGTGGTTCCCCCATTGAGAAGGGCAATGTCGGGACCACTGGGCTCACGCTCTGGGAATAGCGGCGCTTGGCTCAGAGGCAGTGCTGATGTGCAGTGGGCACACGTGTGCTCACTTAACACTGTGGCACCCACAGCGGCCATTGCTGCTCTGACCTTATCTCAGCTGCTGTTTTTGCAGGACTGGGAAGAATATGCACCCTTGGTTTGCCTTTACTGGAGAATTTGTGAGTTTATGCTGAAGACCTTCTTGCTGTTGGGCTTTTTGTGGAGTCTGGCCTGGATTGCCCTGGCTTTTTACTGATGTCTTCCTGGAGGTGGAAGAGGAGAGAGAAGGGAGATTTCAGTGGCCAAGTGTCCCCAATTGGGGGTGGGGGCGTTCCCAATTTCCTGAGTCAGAGTTGGCCTGACCTCCCACTGCCCAGGGTTGGGCCCCGCCCCACTTTCCTGTCAGGAAAATTCTTCCAGGGAATTTTGCAATGTCGGGGGTTTCCCTCAGCATTGCTTGGGAAGTCAACCCCCAGTCCAGACATGCTCCCCCTCGCCTCCTTTATTTTTTCTCCTCTGTGCTAACCTTAGCTCTTGACCTCCCTGGAGAGGTCCTGGAACTGTATACCTGGCTGGAAGCACCTGAATTTTGCTAAGTCTTTTTTCAGAGTTATATTCATGGTAGAGGATGATTCCAGCCTGTTTATTCCACCATGTTGTGGTTGGAGTCTTTAAAAGATTTTAAAATTGAATTAATACCAGTTATTTGGTTTTACCTTAATTCCTCTTGCCATAGGAGTAGTCTCCAAAAAAATCTTTATCATGTATGTCATGAAACATATTCCCAATGAAAACATCATTTTCTGGCAATAAATATTTATTAAACATTAAATTATTTAAATGAAAAGTAAAATTCATTATTTAATCATTATAATTGTTACTTAAAATAAAAATCATCCATAATCATATTTCCTAGAGATAACCATTATTGACATTTTGTTGCCTTTTCTACCAAATTTGATAGACATATAGTTTTCATACCAGATTTCAACTGTTAAGACATTTTTCATCATATGGTATTTATAGTGAATGCAAATATGTTAATAGAAATCAAAAAGTCAGCTATACTTTTAAAAAATCTGTCTCAAACATTAATATTTCCTATTTGCCTTTACAGGGGTCCTATTGAAATTCTCATTGTAAAATGGACGCATTCCCTTCTCCTCCCTGCCAGGTTGCAGAATACTCAAGAGTCTAATATGTATCTAGACTCTTTATCTCTATGATCTAGCTCATCCCTCAACACATTTTATTGAGCAGCTAAAAAGTGCCAGCTTTCCTCTAGATGCTGGTCTTCCAGCCTGTACCTCCAGTGTGAAAGGTTCTACTGCTTATTCAACTGTAAACAGCTTAAAAAGATCTATGTCTGTTCCATCTGTGTATCTTTTAGCTCCTAGCAATGTGCCTTTGACACAGTAGTAACTTAATACTGTAGCTATTTGCCAAATGAAGAAATGAAAAGTAAATTGCTTCAGAAAGTAAATCAGATTTGCCACAATGATTGCAGATTTATTTCTTTGGATGAGGGAAATTCAGTCGTAGTAAGAATACAAATCTCTCTAGAAGGAATCATATAAAATACCTCTAGCCATTAATAGGTTAGTGGGAATAAATTTTCCAGCCAACTGAGTTCTAAATTTGAATTTCAAGTTATAAAAAGGGAAACACCTGCTTTGGATCATCAAGGATTACTTAGGACAGATATGGGGGTAGTTTGAGGGTACCCAGGCATTAAAAAATGGTGCCTATGAGGGTCAAAGTGAAGGGCAGGAAAACTTAGAGGACAAACTTTGCTATTTTCACAATTACATTCTACTTAAGATTCTTAGAAAAAGCACCTGAGCCAGAGAATATTAAAAATGTTTGCAAAGAGCCTCTGTCAGTAACAAATTACATGCTTTACCCCACCTGGGAGTTGGGAGACAAAGACAAAATGTGGTTCCCTCTCCTGCTATCCCATTGCAGAGAAAGATCCTGCCCTGCAAACACATAAATTCCTGCTGATTTATTTTAAGATTTACAGAAAGTAACCTAGTGGGAAATTCTCTTTAAGCAATATTTAGATGCTTCAGTTTTTAGTTTTGTGAAAACCAGAATGTCAGCAAACTCAAACACAAGCAATGGAGGTAAAAGTCACAGCTGAAGGTAAACTAAAATGTGACAGCCTTGTAAATAAGCCCTGTAATTTCTCTTCATTGAGATCCTATTTGTTAATCATTGATGTAAACCTTAATGGAAAACAGATGCAGAATCAATTTGCAAGAACTGGCATTCATTAAAAAATCTATAAAGGTACGTTTACTATAGTGACAAAAACACACAATTAAAGACCCTAAATCTCTTTAAAATTTGGAGCTGCATTGACATGATTACTAGGAGTATAAAAAGAACAAGGTGGAACAAATTTCAGATAGGATCTGGTAAATTCCCATTGGGCTGATTGACTTGCCAACTCAATGGGCTGCGGAGGGTGTCTTTGGTTTTATTTTCCTTTGGAAGCTTTCACTCTCTTTAACCAAATACTTTATCTTGGTGTCTGGCTCAAGATAGCATGTAAAATAATGGACAGCTAAGAAGAGCTAGACTTTTCTGAAAGCACAATGCATGTACATTTACACATACATCGACAGATAAGCATAAGCCAGTATTTAATTTTGCACTTATTAAAATGTCTTAGTATAGTTTCAAGTAGAATATCTATTTGGAGAAACATGCTTTTAATTTTTAACTTTTAATTATATCATTTTTATTGATGTTACCTTGGGTTAGGAGTACGGGTTCACACCTCTGCAGTTGTGTGTTACCACAACATGCCTACTACCAAAGCACAGTAATCCTCTGTGCTTTGGGGCCATTAAGCCCCCTCTTCCCTTTGCTCCCCACTTTCCCCCTCCCTTTTGGTAGGGAAACAAACTTTTTTGAACATAACGTTTGCTTTAAATATATTTTGGAGGAGGGGACACCTCATTTCTAATTTAAAGAAAAACATTTCTATAGGCCAGAGGTTTTTTTCTCCACACCTGCCATGCCATGAACTCATGGGGAACAGGTCCCAGCACTTCAGGCTACTTTCCATTGATTCTCACAAAGTGGGCTTCTCTGGGGGGAGCAGGCTGGGCTTCAGATGAATTCAAGTACCAGTCTTTTTGGCTTCCTTTTTTCCTGATCTCTTTCTTTCAAATGTTTCAGGCAACTCTCCGTTCTTAGAGAGCTTAATATAGTCAATACAAACATGCATTCTCTTGGCAAGAATATTGCCTTTGTTGATTTACAAAAACGCCAACTGCCTACTGGGTAAACTCTTCCTGATTTGCCATGGTAACATTTGTGGGTGTTCTTGAACAGGGCCCATCCCCCTAATGCCTACAATATCACTTTTCTTATAGATTTGCATGTGGCCAAAGGAACAGCTCCATGTTTTCTAGAAGGCCTGGAGACATAGACGGGTACCTCTTCTCTTTCCCTTTGTGTTGGTCATTTTGGTGATAGTGGAAGATGGCAGGTCTTGGTGAAAGGCAAGAAATCAACTTCTTAATGTCAATATTAACTACTTCAGTTTCCCTGCTTCAAAATTTTGTCTGGTGATCTCCATTGGCTTAGATTAAAGTTTAAATTTTTGCCCATATTGGGCAAAGTGCCTTTTCACTAAACTCCCACATCATCCATTGCATAATTCTCTTAGTGTCTAGTAGTGACTTATTCACCAATCAGTCATCTTCACTAAATTGTGCACTCCCCAAGGGTCTGGACCCTACCTACAGCATACTAATGTGGTCCAGCATAGCATAGGTTCATAGTGGGTACTTGTTCAACTGAGCAGAATTGCATTTATTAAAGCTCATACTGTATGGTTGTGTCAAAAAGCCACCGAAGCGGAAAGGAAGCTGGGATTATTCTCCCAACGCTGGGCGAATTCCTATTTAAACAGGCAACTTGTCGACGTGATGCATACCTGTGCTAGGATAAAGGAATATTGGACATAGATGGAAGCAGAACTCATAGGTTCCATTATTTGTTTCTTCTTTTGTATCTTGCCCTTTCATCTCTCCCTCTAGTCCCTGTACATTTCCCATCTAAACTCACATGCACTCACAGGTACCCATCACAATAAAATGGTCAGCCGCCTCTAGACTGGCTCTCACCTGGAGTTTGGGAAGAATTTTCAGTCTGATGGGCTTACATGAACAGCTGGCTTACATTACATAAATGCCTTTAAGAGTTAAGCATTAGATATAACTATATAAGAATCATCAGACCAGATTAAAAAAAAATCAGATTGCTAGCCAGTCAGGCAATCTGATGAATTTCAGACTGATGAATTTCTTTATTATTTTTTTTAGATAGAGATCCTTTTTTATTTTATTTTATTTTATATATTTTCACATCATTTTTCATTTTTTGCACAATGTATGCATTTTCTTTTTTTTCTTTTATTTAATTTTATTTTTATATTCCCCATACCATTGTCAACCCCCTTATTTTGATCCCAAAGTCCCCATACAATTCCCACCTACCTTGTTTTGATCCAACTCTCTTCTCCCCCCCCCGCCCCCCATAGTGTGTCTCTGATTTGTAGTTGCTTGTTGATTTTGATTTTGATTTTATTATAATTAGTCTTTATCCTGGTCCTGTATTTAGGTTTTCTAAATTCCTGCTATGAGTGAGACCATCGGTATTTTTCTTTTTCTTTCTGGCTTATTTCGCTGAGCATGATCCCTTCCAGCTCCATCCATGTTGGTGCAAATTGCTTGAGTTTATCTTTCTTAATTGCCGAGTAATATTCCATTGTGTATATGTACCACATCTTCTTGATCCAGTCATCTATTTTGGGGCATTTGGGTTGTTTCCAAAGCTTAGCTATTGTAAGTAGTGCTGCTATAAACATAGGGGTGCAGGTGCTCTTTGGAATTGATGTTTCTGTGTCCTTTGGGTAAATACCTAGGAGTGGAATTGCTGGATAATATGGAAGCTCTATGTTTAGTAGGTCAAGAAATCTCCACACAGCACTCCATAGTGGTTGGACCAGTTTGTACTCCCACCAGCAGTGCAGGAGAGTTCCTTTTTCTCCATATCCTCGCCAACATTTGCTGTTGCTAGTTTTTTTTTTTTTTAACATGTGCCATTCTCACTGGTTTAAGATGGTATCTCATTGTAGTTTTGATTTACATTTCCCTGATTACAAGTGATGTTGAACTTTTTTTCATATGTCTGTTGGCCATTTGTATTTCTTCTTTGGAGAAGTTTCTTTTTAGCTCTTCTGCCC